AGATCCAGTTTCCGAAGCATTGTGTTTTCTATTTTCTAGAATTCCAGATGATGGAAAAAGTCCAAAAACCCAGTAATTCTGTGTGTTATCCACCATCGTCAGAACCCTTTAGAATAATACTTCAAGCTCATAAATTCTGTAACCTGCATGGCAGGAGGGATTACAGCAGTTTTGGTAGCAATAGAAATGGAAATGGTGTGAACCAGGCAGAAAGATAACAGGTCAATGATGCAAAGCACACAGAGTTGCCAAGTTCCATTTTCATTGATAAATTACTGTGCGATTTATAATTATTAATTTGGGGCCCTTCTTCAAGTGAATCATCCTGTATATTATTTTAATTACTGCTTTTTTATATAAATATTTACATACATATGCTTCCCATATCTTTAACAGTGTTGTGGAACAAAAACCTTATGCAGGGTTTCACATATTGTGGAACAGGATACTGGATCCCTGTCATCTCTTCTAACAACAGTCACATTTCTGTTTGAATTTTCATTGCTCCTGAATGATCTTAAGATTACATGCACTAGCCAGGATAAAATATTGGGCTACTGTACAAACTAACTAACGAACTCCATGCAGCAAGGTACCTCACGAGATGAAAATATCTGCTTAGCTGGTTCAAAATTTCTGACCTTTATGAAACCCAAAGTTCATTATCATGTTTACAAGAGCTCCGAAAATTTTAGTCACTGCATTTTCTGGCTTTCACGTGTAAAAATGGCATGAATTGGGCAGGTTCTGAGTATGTTAGCCTGTGCATGTAATTACACAGAAATGTCAGCAGCACAGAATTATCATCATACATAAGAGAAAGTGTAAGCTGGAAAGAAGAGATGCAGCGTTTACTGTGCCATAATAGGTCAAGTTTTCTCTGTGCTTAGCTAATTAAGCACTACACCATGAACGTGTATGAGGGTGTGGATATATATAGATCCACATTTTCTTGACCTCAGCACTAGTTGCTGGTGGGTGGACAGCTTCAAACCCCAGGTGCTTTACCCGCGGGGAGAGTGCCCTGGTACCCATTTGATAGGAGGCTGGCTAAGCACCAGTGCTGGTCTGGGCGATGTGGAGAAAATTCTTTACCATACAGGGCTTCGAACTCTGACCCCTCGATCGCCCAGCCCCTAGCCAGTCGCTATACCGACTGCGCTACCCCGGCTCTATGATATGAAACTTTGGGACATTAATTGATCTATTTCGTTGCGCCATACTGGAGTTCTAACTTAAAGCCATCATATACCATACTATAACCCCAACAAAAGCCATGACATTAAGTACTTACTACTGTGACATTCGCCGGCCGAAGTTTGTGCTACGAAAGCAACAACCTTTCTCAAGGCAAAGTTTTATATACAGCAGCCACCGTATTCTGAACTTTAGCGTATAGATTTTAAACGTTTCCTACAGCTCCTACTTTGAAAATCATAAGCCATTCATGCGAGAAAAATTTGTCTCCGAACCCTCCGAATGTCTTCCATATTTACGTTTGCGTTCCTTATAAAAACAAAACTGATGCAGTTATAATTACAACGATGTACAACTAATCACGGCAGTGTTTGCCATACCTTCTGTCAGTTCGAATTACACTTACCTGTATCGTAAGGTATATCCTGATTTTGTTGATTATGTTCAAGCGTTTGGCCTCTGTTTCAAACAATTTTAAACTCAATCTCGCTTCAGATATACAAAGTCGGCATCTGTTTTGAAATGAACCAACACCAGCAATTTCCATTATGTTAACAACACAAGCACAGACATCAGCACAACTACAGTACTTTCCTATGTAAATTCAGTTCCCTTCGTAGCACAAACTCTCCACCTCTCGAGCCTCTTACTTAGTTCGGCAACCATTAAAAACAAACTTACGGTGCGCAGGGCGCGCAGTACGAAGCGGTACGAAGTATAGATCGTATAGATCAGTGGGCCTCAACCCTTGTGAGAACGCGGCCCGGTAAATTACTTTTTTACAAGTTAGGGCACGGTATAATTGGCCCGGTAAATTACTTTTTTACAAGACGAGGGCCCGGTATAATTGATGCCAGGGCCTGGAGGTTGAGAAACACTGGTATAGATAAGCACCTCACGCTGGGACTGCATAGTTGGTATCGGTTCATATCGTCTATATAGCGACTGGCTATGGGCTGGATGACCGAGAGGTCGGAGTTCGAGTACCGGTAGGGTCAAGAATTTTCTTCATGTTATCCAGACCGGCTCTGGGGCCCACCCAGCCTCCTAACCAATGGGTACCTGGGGCTCCTTCCCTGAGAGGCAATGTGGCTGAGGCGAGAAGCAGACCACTCACCTCCAACTAGTGCCAATCATGAAAACGTGGATTTATACATCCACTCCCCCATACGCCATCGTGGCATAGTGCTTAATTAGTTAAGCACTGGGACAACTTTACCTTACCTTAATGCTATTAGCAGGCTGCGTTCAGAGCGGATCAGAGGGACGTGGAGGATAAGAGCTTCATGAATAAGCAAACTTAGGAGGTTCTACAGTCTTCAAATATGTACGTCACTAGACCATGGGAGAATGTAAACAAAGTTGACATACTATATGCACGTTTTGATGTTTTAAAAAATTTTGAACTTTGTCGTTCTTCAATTAGTTGTGCTACTACTATATTATGCGTTACAGTAGATCTAAGTTAGATTAGGTTAGTTTGTCGAATCAGACCACTGTGTATCATTTTGCACAACCACTTTCACATTTGGGCAGATTAAGTAAGGTTAGGCTATTAAGATTTGACATTAGGTCACTGCACATCCACATTCTTATTTTGGTAAGGCTTTCTCAGGTAGCATTCTGTTAAAGTGGGACAGGTTAGGTGGTATATCAGATCACTGTCCATCTACCTGAGATTTGTTATATTCAGAATTGTATAGTGCCAAAGCTACAGATACACTATGCTGGATTCCTGAGAAACTTGTAGAATTTAAGTTCTGTCTGCCTAGGAACGGAATTGTACCCATAGGCAAAACATCTTTTTCCTGGGCACATTATGTAATGGGAGAAGGAATGCAAGAATTACAACACAGTCACATATACACACACACACACACACATATATATTGTCGCGTATCGCGGGGTATAACGCGACGAATAACTTCACGATGTATTTTATATCGCGAATTTTATTTCACATTCGCTCATACAATCACCCAAATTACAGATTTACGATTACTGCTATCTGCAGTCTCACAATTAGTACACTGAAAAATGCCACAATACAACTGACTGGTTGACTTTACGTCTCGACTCGGCGACTGTTACTTTATAACTGACTGTAAATAGCCTTCGCTGCGCCTCATGTAGCCTCGATCGGACCATACGGAAAACGGCCGCGTAATAGGCACCCTTTTTGCCTGGCGCTGTGTTGCTATGTAACGCTAGCGGAGGTAACCGCTGTTACTATCGTAACGTCGCCGCTGTTGACTCGCGTTGTCTAGCGACCGCGATATCCCTCGGTGACGTCACCGCGGAGGGGAGTGGCGGGGCGGGAACTCGCCTATTACCGTAAGAACGCGAGCGTTACGTTACCGCCACGTACCGCTGGGGAGGTAGGGGTCAACATGTCACACTGCTCCCTCCTTAAGGCTGTTCGTCCCGAATAGCCTAACGGTGCATCCCCGTTCCTTTTCCTCGGTGGCTGTTCTTGCAGCATCTCCTGTTGTTGCGGCTACTCTTCTTGCAGCGACTATTCTTCGTCCGGTACATCCGCTCCCCTCTTAAGACAAAGCTCGTCTCGAGCGGTTTCCTTTCAGCTCGCCAGAAGATCCAGTCGTGTCCCATTCATCCATCACTTTCATTCTATGGCACATTC